TACCCTACCCCGGGTTAAATGTGAGGGTTTTTCTGAAAAGAAAAGAAACTCATACTTCAAGGCTCAAAGAGGTTGACGAGGGTCTATCTCCCTTATATCTCTGGTGTTTAGGAATTGAAACAAGGCTTGTACATCGTCAGTAGGGTTTTATTCAAAAACACATCGTTTGAAATTTTTGGCATATTACTCATCATCCTCCCTCCAGAGGTTTTTTTCTTTATTTAACAATAGTTAAGTATCAAAAAGCAAAGAAAAACATTAATGAATACGAATGGATTAATTCAAGACAAACCAATTTAATGCATTGTGATTAATATTCAACGATAAGCAAGTTTTGCATACAAGAAAGTACTGAACCAAACAAGAAAGATTACAAATGAGAATTGAAAATGAAACTAGAGATTGTCATGTTGAGGAGACTAGTCTCCGTATGGACCTGTTGCTTCAGACGATGATCTAGTAGTATTGACATTTACTAAGTCAAAGGAGACTTCAAATTTAACTGGCTGACCCGAAATTGATAGCCTTTGCATCAAGCAGGTCTTGAACATTTTCTTTGAAAGCCCAGCAGTCTTCAATGGAATGACCTAGTTCCCCAGTGTGGTAGTCACATTGCACATTAGAATTGAAATCCATAGGATAAGGAGGAATGACAAACTTCAGTGGCTTGGGTTCTACCAAGGAAAGCTTGAGCAACTGAGAGAACAGTTGGCCATAAGTCATGGGAACAATATCGAACACCCTCGTTGGCTTCCTATACCTTTGTTTATCTTGTTGCATATGTCTCTGTTGAAAGGTTTGCTACTGAGAAGCACACCGAACTGGATGAACATGAGGAGCATTATGTTTTTGATTAACCAACTGATTTCCAATATTTGTAAATGGCTGCTGGTGAGAACTTTCTGGGATTATAGGTTGTGGATGACGTGACTACGGTCGTGAGATAGAACTTTGAAGAGGAGAAGGCGTAAGATTGACTTGCACGTTAAGACCTTTGGGAGTGAAGAGAATTGTTCCTGCATCAAGCAAACCTTGGACTTGGTTCTTAAAAGCTATGAAATCTTCAGTATCATGACCGGGTGCCCCAGAATGGAATTCACATTTAGCATTGTCGTCAAAGCCACGAGGGGGCCTTTCATGTGTAGTGAAGATTCGGAGTTTGACCAAATGAAATTCTAGTAGGGGAGGAAGCAATTGTGCATACAACATTGGAATAGGATCAAATTGTCATTCAGGTTGTTTTGGCCTCTGCTGACGGACTTTGCCCTTTTGGTCCTCTTGGGAAATGACAACTGGTTGTGGATGGGAAGATCCTTGAACACAAGGCGGTGGAGGAGATACTCCCTGACTTAAAAGAGTCCCCAGATTATAGGGAGGAATGGTAGCTCCTATTGTAGCAGGCATGGAAACATCTTCTTTCTTCAACATCGTCCTCAAAATTTCCATAACCAAATTCAATTGAGTCTTCAACTGACTATTTTCTTCTTTTAAGAGTTCTTGTCCATGGACCAAATATTGTATGTCCAGCATCGAGAATCCCATCTATTATTTCATCTTGTCCAATTCCCCACGAAGTTGTTCCATGTCTTGAATCTAATCACGAAGCGGCGTGAAGTCAAGATTTGTAGCTCTGAAAAGAAAATACCGAGTCTAAATAAGGATTCCCCATTCTGAGTACCTTCGGAGTACCTACTATGGATGCATCAAGATGCATGGGGTGAATGAGCGGATGCAATGCCATGTTAAAACATTTTTTTGCACACAATCTTTCACATTTCACTTTCTTGTGTAAAATAAACATGCTATGATGCAAGGTGCAATGATATAGGTTCAAAGGTTCAACATAACAACTGTGCAATCCTCTGGATAACTGATGTATAAATTTGCTGAATAATCTGAATATCAGAGGATCAAAGGTTCAACACCAATTTCAGCATACAATAGAACCAAGTACCATGAATAACCGTTGTATAATCTCTGGCCAAGTCAAATATATCAGGATCAAAGGTCCAGAACATAACCAAAGAACCATCCCAAATACCAAATCCAGAAACTCAGAAAATAAATCTGAGACCCATATAGCCGCCAACAGAACAACGGTCACCATTTGTACCTGTAATAATCAAGTCCCTCCCCACTCACGGGTAAAGACTAGGTCAGGGTAGGTCAAAGGTAACTCAAAATCATGGGTCCGCCTGAAAGTACTACCGCCTTACCCACAGACGTGAGTGTGGATAGCAATTCATTTGAACTTCATCCGAGCGTGGTATATGACATGACTGCACTAATCGGACCATGTCCTATAGCTGTCATGCCCCCACTCTATTCCTAGGGTCCTAGTGCACTCTGGCCTGGGTACTGGGCCTTTTACCTCAATAGTAACATCCACCCAACATGGAAAACCAGAATCCAGCATAATAGATAACCAATATGGAAAGCAATAAAATGCAATGCAAACTTATGCTCAGATAAACATGTACAAATGAATAAACTGAAAGCACAAAAATAAACACCCAAAGAAAAGAAAACAAGAGCTAGGATCGCCTCCGGGATGGACCAACAATAGGTCAATTTGTCCCCAGTGAACTCGCCAGCTGAAACAACCGGCTGAAAATCATCAAACAATGAAGTCGCCATCGAACATCTTTTATCCCACATGAAGGGAAAGGTAAACATCGAGAAAACCCGAGAAGGGATAAGTCACGGTCTTGAGATCGAGAGATACGGGTAAGGGAGTCTGTTACGCGAGGGGAAGGTATTAGCACCCCACACACCTGTAGTACTCTACGGTATCCACTCTTGTTATCTATCTTATGGGTGTTTTCAAACTATGCATATTGTTTACTACCGATAAAGGGGGAATGCATGCAAAAGAAAGGAGAAAAGAATGTAGGGAAAATAAAAATTATGCTCGTTCGGGCCCTACCCCAATGCCTACGTATCCCTTTTAAGGAATCAGAGCAGCCTTAGTTTGGCTCATATGTTTTTGTTTGTTTGTATTTTTTAATGAACAATATTAATTTCGCCTTATGTCGCAACTCGGCCTTTGGAGACTTACGCGTCAGCACAGAAGTGAATTAACATATTCTTTTGAAAAGGTTTTGAAAGAAAAGCCTGTAGGCAAAAGAGTTTATGTTGGTTGGTGTTTTTTCTTGTGGATAACAGCTAGTTGACCTCAAGAGAGATATTTTATCCATTTCTCTACTTATTCATGAAATAAGTATTTGAGACTTGGACCACACCAAAGCTTAGAATAGGAGAACAATAAGACCGAGAAGAAACCCGCTTATCATCTTTCATACTTAACAAAGGTATGATTCTCATCAACAATCTTTAAGTGTTTTGAAGTTTGTAAGAAAAAGAAGTTTTTGTTTTAATGCAAATGCAAAAGGGGATAGAAAAGTCTAAAGGGAGACTAACCTAAATCTATCTCTAATATTATCATACAATGGTGGTCCTATGGTTGAGTTTTGAAGGGAAATCTCTACCCTAAGTTGACATGCTTGGATAACGATCCTAATGTCTATCTCAAATCATCATCTATAGATGAATCAAGAAGTACTAAAGGAGAATAGCAAGGGTCTATTACCTAAAACTATGTTTATCTCGAATCACCATCTATAGTTGAATCGAGAGCTCCTAAGAGAACGCGCCGAGGGTATGTCATCTCAAAACATGCACACAAAGATGAAATCAAACAAACAAGCCAATAATCTCAAGAGAGCTAGATCAATAGAGCATAATTAGAGAGATCCTACCGAGGCTAGGATACCAAAGAAAGTCTAACAAAACTATCATATGGGGAACATGCAAAGAGAGCGAAGTCGTGATCTCAATTTCTAAATTGAGTGACTCATCGATCAATAAGAAATAAAGGAAAGCGATAAAATCCTATAGGGAGCATGCACTGAGAGCAAAGTCGTGATCTCAATTTCTAAATTGAGTGACTCATCGATCAACAAGAAAGTAAACAAACACAAGCACAACACATGTAGTAAATGAAGTGTGGAATGTCTGCTACAGGTCTTTAAACAGCGACTTTGAGTGCACGCTCTTTATTTCCTACTTCACATGATATTTAGAAAGCAGTAAAGTGTAAAATGAGATAAACAAGAGAAAATACCAAACGAATATCAATCTGAAGCAAAGCGTATCAAAACAAAGAAACCCGACGATCTTTGCGAAAGCTTCACCAATCAAAGAAAAGAGTTAGAAATCAAATGCTTGGAATAAGTATGACGCATCATCGATGTGAAAATAAACCACAATTGAAATCTCAAGCACATCCGCATATCGCACAATAAACCTGTATAAGACTCAAATCTCGACAAGCAAAAGAGAATCACAAAATCTTGACAACAAAATGCTTGCCAAACATAAACAATAATAGAAAATTATAACTAAAATTCTTTAAAAAAAACTCCTAGAGTAATTATATTAAATTCCTAAAAAAAACAATTAACAATTTTGTTGTTATCAACATTTTTGCTTAACAAAATTCAAGAGAAGAAAATTACTAAAAAAGGAAATCATAATTAATTACAAATAGTGGTGAGGTTTGTGACTGGATCGAATGGTAAGATATAAGCAAACTCTAGGCCCATTGCAAAGGATCCAACAATCTCCCCCTTTTTTTAGAGATAGTCCAGTTACCAAAAAAACAGCAATTAGGCTTTAGGGAGATCTTCGGCCCAGACCCATAACAATATCCAATCCGTTTTTTATTCTTCAACCAACACAAACCGGGCCAATAGGGAGGAAGTGGCTCGGTACAGGCCTAGTCAATTATATCAATGTAACTGAGTTAGTAAAACAACAAATTAAAAGGAAAGAAGAAAGGAAAATCAAAAGAGGGATAGGGCCTAAATCGGTTGTGACGGTTGAGATCCCGCGATCCCGTCTTCTCCTACCTCTCAATGGGAACAGCGACCGACGATTATCTTATTCTCTTTCTACACAGTGACGACACTCGCGACTCAACTTCCTTTGCTTCGACTTCCTCACGCCTCCATCGCGATTCTAATTTGTGATAGATCTGCTCCGTATCGTTCTTCTTCATTGCAAATTCGTTCATCTTCTTCGCGATTTGGTCTCAATGCCTTCACTCTGCATCGCTCCCATCGTTCGCGGATCGGCTTCCTTTTAATACCTGCAAGAACCAAGAAACGTGTATGAGAAAGAGGAAAAGCGCATCGAGGCCTACCAACCGGTGGATATTCCAACGCGTCTTCGATAGCATTGACTGAAAATCAGTGAGTCAGGTATGTGTTTTTGATCTCAATTCACTTTCTCTGATCCAAACTTTTTCTTCCCCTTCTATGATTCTATGAGTTTTTGTAGTTGATTATTTGCATCACTGTGATGTTGTTATAGAGAGGCGTCTGTTGTAGGTTATTGTGCGAGGACGGTGATTCAAGATATAGAGACATATTATTGTGATTGTAGTAGATTGAAGCGAGCTTGAAGAACCACGAAGCACGATGAAGATGATTGTAATAATGAATCTTGCGGATTTGTTGATGATGATGATGATGATGCGGGTGCTGCAGAGACTTGATGAAGATGATGGCTATTGAAGGTTGAAGAATAAGATATAGGTGATTGAAGCTTCAAGAAGTTGCAGAAGAAGGTGATGTTTGAAGAACGTGAGGGAAAATGTAGAAGGTGATAATGGAAGAAGGAAACAGAAAGAGAAGATGGTGAGTTTCTTCTGTGATTTCTCTTTTTTCTGTATGTTTCCCAGATATTGATAGGGTGGATCCCTTTTATCTCAATTTGAAAGTTCTATTATTCTCCTCATCTCATTTTTCTGTTAGAGTTAGTTAGGATGGAATGTGGAGTTAGTTAGTGTAGCTAGAAATTTTGTTAGGAGGTTAGAAGAGTTAGTTAAAGGTTTTTGATATAATGTTGTTACGGTTAGAAACAGTTAGGAAGTTATTAGAGTTCTGCTAGTTGTTAGTAAGTTGTTAGTTAGGAATTCAGTTAGCTCTGTTAGTTAGGGGTTTAGGCTGTTAGTTTGTTAATCAGTTATAGGTTAGTTAAATTCTGTTATGGAGGTGGTTAGTGAAACAACTATTAGAAGGTTGTTTATAATTTGGGTTAGTTAGTTAATTTGTTAAATTCTGTTAGAGGTTGATTCTCTTCTTTAAAGTTTGTTACCAAGGATCTAACCTTAACCCTCAGATCTTAGCAGCTTCTTATAAAGGAACGGATGAGATGGATTTGATAGAGGTTAGTTATATGTCTTTGAATTCAATTGAAATCTGGAACTCTACTATGAGCTATGAGATGAACCTTGCCTGTCATGCTTCTAATAACTTCTCCTTCATTTTTTATTTAATTTCCCCCCTGTTTTCATACAGGTTATCTGAACCTGGTTTAATTATCTAGATTTCTGCAGGATGGCTTTGGTTTCATATTTTGAAGCGGATATTTTCTCCTGTTGTGACAAGACATTAGCGTGTAGGTATGATTTTGTGGTGATTGTAGTTAGTTTTATGAATTTCCTTTCTGTATTGTCTTGGCTTGGGTATATGGCTTTTCAAGTACAGGATGTCATGTCATGATGAAGGTGATATTGAAGGCTTGGTGCATAACTAACGGTTGGTTAATACAAGAAGCCGTCGCAGGTTCACGACATGGCTGGCATTTCTTGGTAACATATCTTTAGCTTTATTTTTGAATTTTTTCATAACCTGAGCTTAACGACCTTACGGGAACAAGACAGGGTAGCAACGCGTATTAATTCCTTTGTGTTATGCAGGTCTGAGCATGGCGCACGAGATGCTTGTGGCTTACAGGCAGGTCCATCTGTTAGTTGACCCTCGGAGCTTTAAGGAGATCATGGACATCAGTTGAAGAATAAAAATTAGGAATAGGTTTAGGAGCAAAGAAGAACATAGGTTTAAATCTTAGTAAAATTTTGTGTATTTTTTATATGATGTAATGCATTGGAACCTTGAATGTACTCTTGAACTTTAACCTTGAATGATCACAGATATTTGTAAAAATTGATGATGATTTGTACTTAAAGCTTGGAACTTTGATGACTGAGATGTCTTTTTGTAACTTCAGTGTAGTGACTTTAATTTGTAATGAACATGGTGTATTCTAACACTTGAACTTTGAATGAGGAGGTTTTGGATGAGATTTGGATGGATTTTGAATGGTATTTGAATGATACTAAAAGTGACAACTTGAACCAAAATAATCACTTGAATGGAATTATAATGAATGACTATGTCTTGCCATTTGTATCTTATCTTTTGCATTCCAAGAAACCCTTATGATTAAGGTCTCCAAACTCGCTTGAATCAAATTCTTGAAAACAAACCAACGCTTAGATTTCTTTAATACCATTTGATTATCCTCTAAGCACTTCACTTCATGACTCAGTGAACGAATTCCAACCAACTTGCATATTCAATGAACCAGTCCTGAACTCAAGATATGACATAACATTCAATCAAATCAATAATATTCATGCATGAACTCAGTCAAGAAAACAACCTCTCCATATTTACTTTTCCCAAAATCAAAGCCTTTATTCATATTCGTCTAACTAAATTAGCGCTCTCCCGCATCATATCTTGTATTGTGCTTCAACTTTTGTAATTCAAGTCACAAGCATGTCCACTTGAAAACATAAGGCTAAAATCCTTAAGAAATTCCCTTGAAGATGATAATTCCTGACGCATAATATAAGGCCTTCTGAGTAAGTCCCTTGATAAAAAACAAACCCTAATCTCATGATCTTTGACAAACAAAAAAAACCTGATTGGAACACAATTGCCGAAAACCTGACTTTGATCACATATAGGGAAATAAACCCTGATAGCCTCGCAGCTTGATGAAGAAAGAAATTCTCGACAACCCAAGTCACAACCCTAAGTCCACTTCTTGCTGCCTGAATAAGAAATCGACCTTTATTGGACACGAATGCCTTAACCACTGTGAAACCCTAATATCGCACAACCACTGAACTTTGAACCTCAAGCTATTTATTGAATGCAGTGCAAGCTATGTTAGTGACCTAATGAAATATATGTGAATGAATGTGAAGGTCTAAGCCAAATAAAAGAAATTAGGAGGAAAAATTTTGGGGTGCAACATTATGCACTTGTGATTAAAGAATCAAGATTTTTTCCAATTAGGTCAAACTTATTTGATCAAATCTTGCATATTTTGACTTACTTTGGCAATTGAAGCATGATGAATCATAATAGACCTTGTCATAACATTTATTTAAAGCACTCCCAATGACGAAGCTTAAATTTCAATGAAGCTTTTTTGAAGAAGGCATGGAAATAAACTCATGAACCTATGAATCAACCTGATGAAGTGTGTTGCGCCCTCGCCTATAGTATCATCATTTAGAGCAAACATTCATTGTATTTTTTAGTGAAAAGTTAATCAATGCAAGACAAATCTAACCATAATATACAAATCAAAGTGCTTGCTGGTCCCTCATGATAATACCTAAAGATAGGAAGAAGAACCAAACCCTAGTGTGATCTTGATATGATTGGGTTGATATGAGATGATAGAGGAATCTTAGGGGGAAAATTGGGGTATAACACATTAGCATCATAGTGAGGTGGTAACCTTTCTGGATCAACCTTCTAAGGGTGCAACTCAACTAGCTTCAACTCAAGCAACTGAATATTCAGACCGATATTCGAATCCAGATTTCCATTCTGAGCACCTCTCAGATTCTCAACCATATTCTGAGTACCCAAAGTATCATTAGGATTGTTGACGACAACCCCTGGCAGATTCACGTTCACAATTTCACCACCATTATTCAAAGTTTCAGCAGGCCTCGTAATCATGGCTCTCATTTCCTCTTGATGACGAGCCATGTTCTGAATGATCTCCATCAACTTGTCAACCCGAGTATCCATCCTGGTACCCATAGCAACAACATTTTCTTGAATTTGTTCCATCTAGTTTTTGGAAGTACTCCGAGTGTTGTAGCGGTGCGGATTTGTAGTAGCAAGTTCTGGAAGGAAAACCCAGATCAAAGATAAGAAAACCTGCCATAGCCACCTGTCATTATATGATATGCATGAATGAATGATCATGCATGAGATATTTTATCATTTCCAAGGTATCTAAAAGTTTTGTCAACCCTTAGGAACATTAAACAAACATGATAAGAGAGATAATCAGGGATCGACAAGAGATATAACAACGATAATTGGCTTCATTAAAAATATAAATGATCCATATGATCAATAGTGAATTCGTACAAGAATGATCCAAAATACAAAATGAAATATAATGATCCCATCCAACAAGGATGGTGGTGATCAAATGACATCAAAGAAGAAAGAAAATTGATAATCAATGCAATGGATCCCTGATCTCTGTGTAGTATAATGGTCCCCCTTTTGGAAGTACCCTTCACTCCATTATTTGGTTTCTGTGAACAATTTCCTTGTCTTTTCACATCTCGTCCACGTGTAAAGCTATCAATTACCACATCCTTCTGAAATATTTATCTCTCTAAATACACATATTTCTCCAAGAAGCGATCATACTCCTTGCACTTTGGCAAAGGTATGGGTACAAGCACATCCTCCATCTCTTTTATTTTGTCTTAGAGTCTGGAATTTTCTTTCATTACTTTGGTCATTTGAGCTTTATTTGCTTCTAGTTCCAGCATAGTAACTTTAAATTGACTTCCCATCTCTTTAGCTTTTGCCGTCTTTCTATTGTTGGCCATTTGGAATTTCAAAGTTCCTTGACGGTTCTTCAATGCATCATCCAGGGCCATCTGATACTCCTCTATAGATACAAAAAAGTTTTTTGTCCCAGGTCTTCTTTTGTTCTTCCTACCTTCAGAACTACCTTCACCTTCATATTCTTTTAGTTGACGGGCTAATTCTCTCTTCTTTTCTGTCAGGAAGTATATTTCCATTTCTTTGTCTGCAAGATTTTTACGAAGATCCATGTTTTCCAACTGCACTTGATAAAAGCGCTCTTTAGGTACATCGTGTTGTGGATCAGTGGGTTGAGGATACGAGGATGTCTCCTTTTCAAAAGGTAACATAAGATTTTTAACTCTTTCCTTCACCTAATCCACATAAGGATCAAAAGCTAATACCTCCTTTAATCCAAAGAACTATTTTCCTTTCCTACCAATGTGGGCCCAAGCAACTTCTACTTTTTTCAACAATTCAAGGTCTTCCCCCCTTTTTGCATTACATAGGTTCAACTTCTTTAGTTGTGGATGGACGCCTCATAGTATAGCCTAACTAACGAAGGGTAAGTACTAGATTGTAATTGATAATCCCTTTGTTCCTATGAGTGGAACATTAGAGAAACCTTCACATTTAAAGATTTCCTCAACACTATCAACCTTAAGTTTGTACCACTGAATATCAAAGGAAGTGAGCATCATCACTTTGGATGCCTAAGAACGAGGATCTTCCTTGAATGGTCCCTTCATAGGAAATTGCGCCATGAACCATTTGTAAAGCATTGGCATACAACATACCATTACTCCCTTCTTCCCATACCTAGAGTGAATGGCCTGGTAAGTGTCAGCTAATAAGGTAGGTATCATATTTTTATTCATGAAGACGCACAAAGCAGTCAAGTTCACTATCTTCTTAATCTCAGGGAAGAGAACAATGCAGCCAATAATGCATAATAAGTATCCCATTGTCCCTTGCTCGCCATTTCTTTAACATTTCCTGACATGAAATCTACTGGAAGACCACAAGTGACTTTATTATGTCTCCAATTTCCTTTTACAATACTAAGGCTCAAATAAAGAACCTTAGAAATAGCCTCATAGTCAGGCTCAACAGGGACCTGGATGAATGGAATATGACTAGTAACTATGATGTGGAGAAGATGAGAATACTCCTCAAGAGTGGGTGCCAACTGATAATCCTGAAATGTGAAACAACGCAACTCCGGATCATAATATTGTAGCAAAGTCTGAACAACCTTATCATCAACTCGAGCATCCAACAAAGATAGGGGATTCCCATATCTTACACCAAAAACACCCATCTGTTGACAATTCATGAGATCTCTGAGTTCTTCAAGAAAGAGCCAAACACTCGGGCGAAACTGGTAGCTGAAGTTATACTTCTGGTCTTCATGATGATATCAGTGTTGTTTGCCATTCTTAGAGGAAAAGAAAACTCTGGAAAATCCTGGAAATGAAAATGCATATGCAAGTTAATCATTTTTATACAACATATACTTTTTTGAAAAGTAAATATGCTATGATGTAACATGATAGGACCAGGGTTTCCAATGTACTGGACACTGTTGTTCTGATGTATAAGTTCAACGGTTCGAGACAGTCACTAATAATAGTCACCAACCAAAGTTACCAACAGAAAGAGAGTCACCAACATAATCAAAGTCACCAACTGAACCAAAGTCACCTTTAGAACTAGAGTTACCAACATAATTAGAGTCACCAAATTTACCTGTAAGAAATCATCCCTCCCACTCACAGCTGAAGACTAGGTCAAGGTAAGGGTAACTCAGAAATCATGGGTCCTCCAGAAAGAAAAATCATCGCAACATAGACGTTCATGATGATGATACCTTCATTTGAACCTCATCCGAGCATGGTGTATAACATGACTACACTAATCGGACCACATCCTATAGCCTTTATGTCCCCACTCTATTCCTAGGTTTCCTATGAGTTCACAACTATATC